GTATGTGTGTTTGTGTTTGTGTTTGTGTTTGTGTGTGTGTGTGTGTGTGTGTGTGTGTGTGTGTGTGTGCGCGCACATACTTGATCTAGTTTCTCAGCACTTGGGTACAATGACAGCCACTCTAATCTCAGATGAAGTTTGCCTGTAGTAACTTCTTCCAAGTCAAACCACTGCAGAAAAAAAAATGTGATTAGTGCACTGGAATGGCAGATATGGGCTTAAATGACATTTAATTAATTCCAAACCAATGATGAAAAACTACAAGTTCAAAAGAAATGACACAACTGGTCTTTCTTTGGAAAAAAAATGTCATTATCAATACAGGAAAATGTCTACATCTAAGGAAGCACAAAGTCAGTACATTAATAAGATAAAATTAAGTTTAACAAGAATGTACTTTTACATATTGTGGAAAAAAAGATGATAATATTCCTGTTTTGAAGTAAAAAACGATTTTTTTTTTCTGTGGCTTAATAATTCATGAATCAGAGAGTTAAAAGCGGAGGCAGTGTTGTGAATGACTGGAATGAAAACAAAATACAAAAACAAAAACTTTAAATCTACTTACAATACAGCCAACAAATTTGGAAATTCAAAGTCAGTTCATTGATGAGAGGGTGCTGAAAGAGAACTGGTGGTGACGTTTGTTGTGAGCTGTAAATGAATCTAAACAAGAGTGTGACTGCATTACCTCATCAACCTTCTGTTCTTTATGAAGCTCACTCAAGTCAATCATTAGACTGGAATAAAAATAAATGAAACATTATACATCTTTATAAAGTTCTATAACAGATAACATTGTAAGTTTCAGCTATATAAATGAATGTGGCACCTGCCCAAGAAGTCATCTTTATCTGGGTCTTCATCGAAGAGCTCAATTTCCAGATGTTGTCCTGAATGTTCATATACTAGTGCCTGATGATGAAACGCATTTCAGTCATACAAGCGCAGTAAATGTGCATGTGTGTGTGTGCATGTGTGTATATATATATATGCTATATATACTGTATATATGTATGTATTCACCTCATACACCTCATTCCATTTGGGGTGCAGACATTCTTTGATGGTCTTGCTTCTAAAGAGCTGATTGCTAACCAGCAGCATGCCATAGGGGTCAGACTTCCCTTTGATCAGCCCGCCCAGATATGTATCCTTAACTTCCAGATTCTGAGCTTCAAGAAAATGAATCCTTAGAACTCCCTAATGAGTGTGAGAAAGAATACAGCAAAGACAATGAGAGGTTAAGGAATATTAATATGAATAAACATTTGTAGGGTTTGATGAGATGCGTGAGTGTATTCACCTTTGGCATAGGGAAACGAAGCTTGGCCAGTTCAACCTCACCTATCAGTGGTACAGTGATCCTGTTAGGCAACACCATGTAAGTGCTGATAATATCCTGGATCATGTGGTCTGAAAAGCCACTGCCAAGGAAAAATAAATAATGAGTTACATGAAATTTTGTACTTCTAGATATTAATCATCATCTTCAATGCAATGGACAGAAGTGTAACCCTCTCAAAATACATAATTTTGTGGGAAAAAGAAGATCAAAATTGTGGTTTAATAATTCATACATCAGAGAGATGAAAGCAGAGGCAGCGTTATGATCGACTGGAATTAAAACAAAAGACTCAAATAGTCTGGAAAAACTTCAAACTTACTCAAAATGTTCCACAGAGAACGTTTCAGTGGCAAGCAACCAAAGCCGTTTAATGGTGTCTAAATGAGTTTGTGTTACTACTACTAGCTGGTGTTGTCTTAGAAGTTGCCTTAAAACAAAGTCTAACTGAACGCCATAGATGATTTTATAAAAAAAAATTAAAAAAAAGAAAGAGAAAAAACAATCCTGTACCTCCCGGATGTATTGCTAACCACAACAACCACATTCAAACGCCACCTTGCTGACTAAACCAACAATGTGACAAAAGACAAAGATCATCTGACACTGTTTATTTAAGTATGTTTTTGTAACATTAGCATGAATACATTTTCTACATTTCAGCAGACTCCTACAGCAGCATGTGGTGTGACAATATATGCATCTGTCTGTCCCAGCACAAATGCACCCCGACCTTGTTAAAATACAAGCACAAGCAGGGGGAGAGGCAATGGAGAGGAAACACATAGAAGCCATAGTGCCATTTTGAGGTCTGTGCTGACATTCCTCAGCTCCCCCCTCTCTCATTTGAACCAATACTCCTGTCTCTGGGCAGCTGACTGTCTTTGTTGAAAAGCCTGTAGTTTTGTCAGTGCCACCTGGGTTTCCTCAAGTCATCTTAACACACAAACACAGGCAAGTAGGCAACATACTGTACAGAGAGTTAAATTATGTTAGCCATAATAATATACAAATGCATGTTTGTAGATGAGAGAACTTTACTGCCATATATATAAGATTTAAGTCTTATGCATGCTGATCTCTCACTGCATACAAACAGCACACACCACATTAAGACGAATAACCATAAACAAGTGAATAAATACGTTTACAGTCCAAGTCAAATTTAGACAATAAATAACTATTTTGTACTGTATAAATGTTCTGTATTATATTATTATAGAGTTCAGCACATTGTATAGTATTGTGCTTTGCTCTTTTAAAATTCAAGTTTATCACAATTATCACTATTACTCATTTTGAGCATGGCTGTTGCCAACGCCAACTAGCTTTCATTTTCATTCAACAAAAACACAAAGAAATCAGAAAACAACTGAACAAAGACACGTATAACAACAACACTATTAAGCAAGTGCCAAGTGTTTTTTTGTTTATTATTCAAGATGAATAAATTCAACATGGGTGCCAAAATGGCAATACACTTAATCATTATCTTTTATGCGATGACAAAAAACAAAAACAAAACAAAACACAATCGTTCTAGTATTACGTCTAATTTAGTTGCATTTTACTGTACTTTCCTTTCCAAAACATGTTTTCTTTGCATTTCAAACGATTTTACACTGCAGCAGGCAAGTTTAAATAGATGGTCATTTAAACTTATAAACAACCAAGGACACTTCTACAAGGTAAAAGAAACATTAACCATTTTGTGCAATGTTGGCATACTTATAATACAACACACAAAAATAAGCTTCGAGGTAAATCCAATTGATCGCTTCCCTGGAACCCAGCTCATCTACACGATAATAAAACATGACACTCAACAACAGAACAAAGAATGCTGAAGCGGACTGATGCAGATACGAGTTGCAAACTATGAATCCATGACAGAAAGCTCAATGCTTGTTCAGCACGTAATATTATATCAACATCCGACATACAGTTAAGCTTGAGTAACTACTTTAGTACATAAAAGCATTTCTAAAGGTGTTCTTAAACCCCTATGGCCATTAGATAATCTTAACAAACTTTAAGAGCTTTAGATGGGGGATGCACAAGGCAAATGTATTGATTTCATGAAGATAAAAGACTTAATCTTCACCAACCTCCCAATGGAAATTTTATTAAATAAATTCAAACTCTTTAGCCTGATTTATTTATTTTTATAACCTCAACTTGCTTATCACATTCTGTCGCTAAATTTTGTTTCCATTCATGCTTTCAATTACACCCATTCTTTGTTTTACATTTGCCTCCAATATGTTTTTTCCAAAATGCTTTCTCATCTCTCTTGTCAGCAACACTTGACATTCAATCTCCCAAATTCTGTGATGAAAGTCAACTTCATTGTGAATTACTTCCTCTGTAATAAAAGAGCACCAACATTCAGTGGGTAACAATATGCCGAACAGAAATCATAAACACCATAAAAAATGAAAGCAAGAATGACCGTGATGATCATAACTCTCTTATTGATTTGCTTGCTGAGCAGATGCAGTTGCCCAAACATCTTCATAATGCAAGCATAGCATTCTCTGAGGTTACAATAATCACTCACTGGTCCAGCAGTGGGACACCACAGATACACTGCATTAGGGTATTATGGTTGCCTGGAGTGACAGATCTAAGATCAGAGTACTATTCTTCAGTCTTACATTGGCTGTATGATGCAAGGAGCATGGCTGACATGAGAGCAGCTCTTGTGCAGTGAAGATCCAAAGCAGCACCAATAAACTTTAATAGTCTAAGACAAGCACTCTCAATGCTGCAGTGCTAATGACCATAGCCTAATGGTACTTTTGTTTGTTTGCTGTGCTTGCAATAAGGATTATCCAGACATCAAGCTCCCAAACAGCATCAACTAGTGTAATTATTTGGTTTTTCAGAAACAGGATACACAAAACATAATGCAAACAAAATTGTAAATAGGCCTACATACATATTTAAACTCTCTTAGTGAAAGAGCTCTTCACTATACTAACTTATAAATTCCTATGGACCACCCCTGTCCACAGTAGCCTGTGTTAAGAAACAGCTAGAGGGGTGTAATCACTCATCCGCCTGTGTGTGTGTGTGTGTGTGTGTGTGTGTGTGTTTGTGTCTGTGTGCATGATCAGCACAACCAGAAGTGCAACACTCATGAATCTGCTCCAACTTTTACTGCAGACAGTATGTTATATCAACACATATAAGATATTTCTAATCTGCCATTACAGAGAGCACTGAGTGGCTATTGAGACTATTTGAAAACATTGTTTTAGTTAATGCGTCTAAATAATTCCTAGGGAACACACTGAAAAAATATGTTCCTTGAATCTACATGCATAATGCATAAATGTAATTATTCTAATTTAATTGCGAATGTATTGCAGGGTGATACAGTAAACGTGTGTATGTATATATATATATATATATATATATATATATATATGTCATCTTTAAAGTAAAAAGAACAGGTTTAAACATGCTCAAAATTAAATTACACTGTTTATGATGCATGCTCATCCATACATATACATTTTAGTGAACACTCTCTCATAACCACTAGCAAGTTTGATACTGGATGTCATTTTTATTATTATAAAAAAAAAAATCACCAGTTATATTACTACTAAGTTTCATCACATAGCCAAGGGAAGAAACAGTGCTCAATATTTATTTATTTTATTTATTTTTTAGTAAAATGCCAAGGGTAGTTGTTCTCTTTACGAAAACAAGTAGCATTAACCCGATTATAAAGGTAAGGTTTTAAACTAATCAACCAGCTATCTTTTATCAAGTGCACCACACCACTGAAAAATTTGGATATGTGTATGTATATATATATATATATATATATATATGTCATCTTTAAAGTAAAAAGAACAGGTTTAAACATGCTCAAAATTAAATTACACTGTTTATGATGCATGCTCATCCATACATATACATTTTAGTGAACACTCTCTCATAACCACTAGCAAGTTTGATACTGGATGTCATTTTTATTATTATAAAAAAAAAAATCACCAGTTATATTACTACTAAGTTTCATCACATAGCCAAGGGAAGAAACAGTGCTCAATATTTATTTATTTTATTTATTTTTTAGTAAAATGCCAAGGGTAGTTGTTCTCTTTACGAAAACAAGTAGCATTAACCCGATTATAAAGGTAAGGTTTTAAACTAATCAACCAGCTATCTTTTATCAAGTGCACCACACCACTGAAAAATTTGGATATGTATAAAATATAAAGTTATATAAATATCTATTACATAGCCACTTGCGCGTTATTAAGGTTTGTAAAGACATTCATATAAAGCCACAATTTAAATGTCTACAAAACTAATTTCAAGCATTTAAGCATAAACCTTTATGTGTGAAACATAAATTTAGTCAAGTGTGTTAGACTGATAATATAAACTGTTTAGGTAAAGTGGCCAAAAAGGTAAATTCATCACTACTCAGTAGGTGGGACAGTTCAATTATAATATGTGTAAAAGCTTTAGTTAATTAAATTCAACATACGTTAGAGAGAAAGAAGAATGTCTTACATTGATTATGCACTAAGACTGCTGAACAAAGGCTCTTTCAATTATCTCCAATAAACAGGCCTACATCCAAGTACAACTAAATGAAGACAAAAACAAAAGAAGAGGTCTAGACTCCATGTTTTATAAATCTATGGATGAAAACCAAGAGGCCCTTAAATTAAAACTGAACCAGAAGCCTAACCAACATGAAAATAATACAAATAAATCACAGTTTATATAAAATGCCTTGCAGGACTAAAATAAACTTACAAATGTATTCCAAGAAACAAAGACTGTTTTTAAATACTAAGTAAAAATTTAATCCATTGTAGGAAGAAAAAGTTCACTTACTTAAGCCCTGGAATGTCCAATATATTTGTGAGGCCTGTCCAGTTTATGTCCAATAGCTGAATGAAAAAGAGAGAATCAAGCATATAGATAACTTAAACACACTGCTAACACAGAGAGAATACAGGTATATCTGTTCAGAGGAGAGAAACAAGCACAAACCAGATAACACAAAAAGACAAACAACAATAAAATATATCTAGACATGCCTGAGGCTGTAATTTAATATCAACTTGGATGTTAAGTCTCACTCTAAAACCAGCACATAAATAACAATACTATGTACTGTTTGTTACTGCAATGAGAACAATCAGTGTCCCAGTGCACCAGAACATAAACAAGAAAGAGGGAAGGATGGAAAGAAAAAAGTACAGAGATACAAACCATCCATTATAACGGGGATAGATGTTATATAAAAATGTTCTCTTAGCCTCTTTTCCTCTGTGAATTTCAGTGTCGCCCACACTGCAGAGGAATATATGAAGAGAAGCCACCTCTGCAGTGCATCACAAACTACAGTCAGACCGCAGGACACTGGACACCTCACAAAGGACTCAAACTCAATGAGGCAGGTGTAGGAAAACTCAATAAAGCCTTCATTCAGAAACAGCAGCAGAATGTGAGCTAGAATCAGGCTGAGCTGTGATAACCTGCTGTGAAATTAGCCCTGCTACTAAACTGGTACTGACAGACTGTAGAATCTGGGTCACTGACGCTGACTGTCTGCCACTGCTATACACACGTGGTAGAACTGTTAAGATCATTTTATGCTGTTTAGCAAACCTTTAAATAGAATCTCAATCCTGCAGCTCTGCAAAAGACAAATGTCTTTAATAACTTTATCTTCCTTTATAACTTTTTTTCACATTTTTTCATCTAAACCAACAACATGTATGTTAGACCCTAGTCCATCTAAGCTCCTAAAAGAGGTGATCCTCTTCTGACTATTGTTAATTCGTCATTGTCATTAGGATATGTCCCCAAAACCTTCAAACTGGCTGTTATTAAGCCTTTCATTAAAAAACCACAACTTGACCCCAAAGATCTAGTTAATTATAGACCGATCTCGAATCTCCCTTTTCTGTCAAAGATACTAGAAAAGGTAGTATCCTCACAATTATATTCCTTCGTAGAGAAAAATGGTATCTGTGAGCATTTCCAGTCAGGATTTAAACCGTATCATAGTGCTGAGGCTGCTCTCATTAGAGTTACAAATGACCTGCTCTTATCATCTGATCAGGATATGTCCCCAAAACATTCAAACTGGCTGTTATTAAGCCTCTCATTAAAAAACCACAACTTGACCCCAAAGATCTAGTTAATTATAGACCGATCTCGAATCTCCCTTTTCTGTCAAAGATACTAGAAAAGGTAGTATCCTCACAATTATATTCCTTCGTAGAGAAAAATGGTATCTGTGAGCATTTCCAGTCAGGATTTAAACCGTATCATAGTGCTGAGGCTGCTCTCATTAGAGTTACAAATGACCTGCTCTTATCATCTGATCATGGTTGTTTCTCTCTATTAATGCTACTGGATCTTAGCGCTGCGTTCAACACTATCGACCACAACATTCTTTTGAATAGACTAGAAAACTTTGTTGGCATTAGTGGAAGTGCATTAGCATGGTTCAAATCATACTTATTGGACCGCCATCAATTCGTAGCAGTGAATGAAGAGGTATCAGATCGATCACAAGTGCAGTATGGAGTACCTCAAGGCTCAGTACTAGGGCCGTTACTCTTCACGCTTTACATGTTACCCTTGGGAGATATCATCAGGAA